GAGGTGGCGGGGGCCCCGCTCGGTCACGATAATGACTGCCGGACCCTGGCGACAGCGAGACGCAGCGCGCCCCGCCGCCGCCTCCCCCATCCCGGGGGTTTAAGCAAATTGCTTTGACATCCAGGAAAGTCGTAGACATCAACGGTGAACGATCTAATGGTTTTTAATTTCATTACAGCGACTCTAATTGAGAGACTCCTGGTGCAGCTCCTCCACTGAAGTCCCTTATTGTCCCCTCAGCGCCTTCGGGTTGTTTAGAGGGACTTTTCCCCAGAGCCGCCTGCTCGCAGCGGGGGATGCTTGGCCCCGTCCCCCCGGACCGGATCCCCCCCGGGACTGCTCCCCAAAACCACCCCGGGGGGTGGGAGAGGTCGCCCCCGGCTGAGCTAATGCGGAGTTCCTGCTCTTCCCTCCCTCTTCCCGGGAATGAGGGGGGCGGTGGGGAAGGACCTGATGGCTGGAAAGCAGCGCTTGCAAAGCGTTTTGCCCCCAGCTCAAGGCAAAAATAGAATCAAATAATAATAATTAAAAAAAAAAAAACCAAAAAAAAACCCACCAAACATGTGGAGGTGGAAAGGAGCGCTCGTAAAAAGATGCTCAGCATTGCGGGAGGGGTCGTCTGGCTGCTTTCCGCAGCAGCGCCCCTCCCGCCCTTGCTTCTTAGCGACCACGTGGATGAGGATATAATAGCACAAGATTTATCATTGAAAAGCGAAGAAAAAAAAAAAACTTGGAAAAAAAATGAAGCTGAAGTGTTGAAACGAGACTGGAGAAAAATACGCTCTTGGAAAGGGGTGGCGGGATCTGGATTCGCATTCCCGCTTAAGTAATTACATATATATTTTTATAGGTATATATTTTTTTCATACATGCACATATATATTTGCTCAGAGGAACACGCATCTTTGGAGACCTTCGAAGGAGGGCTGTTGCTGGCTGCCGAATTCACACAAGCTTTCACTGCCCCACGAGTCTAGCAAAGACCTTTTTATGTCCAAGAAGCTCTAGCGGGATTTCAATATTTTTTTTATTGTCTTTAATTATCGTTGCCTTCTTTTTTTTTTTTTTTTTTTTTTTATCGTTGTTTTTTTTTTTTTTTTTTTTTTTTTTTTTTTTGATCAAGGGATCCGCATGGGTTTAGGTCCTACTTCTTCGAATAGTTATGCCTGATTAATTTTACCTGGTAGCCGAATTCACGGAGGCAGCGAGCAGCTTTTAACGCTCCAAGACTCTCCATGAGGTTAAAACCAGGTAGTTAAGTACTCAATTAAGCCAGACGCATTTCGCCCACTCGTGGACTCCGGCCCCCGGGGTCTGTAATCAATTCCCACTCAGCGCTGCTAAATAGCCCACTTTTTAATGTTTATGCTTCCATTTTTGGGGTGTCCTTCATTGGGGTTCATCCCACCCTCTCAGGGAAGAAAATAACACCCCGCCAACACAACGGATTTGGGGGTGGGCGACATTGCCATGGCTGTGGTGGGGGAGACCACGCGTGGGTGCAGGACACGCCGTGGAAAAGGGCCGTGCTCACGCGTGGGACCCCCCAGTAGCCCTTCGCGGGTGCCGTGCCCGTCTGCCACCCCCGGTACTTACATGTCCGAAGGGGTCGAGGTGGTTGTTGGTGAGTTTGAGCTTCTGGAAGGAAACCAGCTGCCTCATCCAGTGGGCGCCGGTGGCCGGGGAGTCGGGGTGCACGTACAGCCGCCCGGGCATGGCCGGCTCTGCCTTCCCCGTCACCGACCTGCGTGGGGACAGAGGCACTGAGCTGCGGGGACCTCCCGTGGGCTCCTGCTCCCCCGCTCGTCCCCTCCCGGGGGGTCCCTCTCACTCGGGTGTCCCCGTCCGCGGGGGCAGCGCGGTGCCGGACGGTCACGCCGTGCGTGGGGAGAACAGGCGTTTAAAAACACTGCGCCGGGGATTAATTGAGCTCTTTGGCACCTTTCCCGTCCGAGATGGCTTTCGCTGTTTCCCCGTTTAACCCCATCCTTTCCCCCCTCCCTAATTACCGGCACCCAAGCCAGGACGGACCACGTACCAATCCTTAAGGACTTTCCTGCTCGGAGATACTCCCTTCCTTCATATAATTGAACTATCGGCTCCACAATAGCCAATAATCTCATCGTCAAACAGGATTACAGCTATCGTTAGCTAATTGCGACAGACTTTTCTCCTTGTTTTGGATGCATTTCTCTCCCAAGGACTGCGGGAGCATCCCGAGAGGCTCAGGTAAAGCCCCTGCAGCCCAAAGTCTCTCCATTGTAGGGGAAAGAGAAGGATGAGCCGCTGATTCAAGGGTATCTCCCTCATCCAGGTTTGGCCAGCCCAGAAAGCCCGACACAGAGCTCCCCTCCCTCCCCTTTCCCCCACGCGTGCATACCATTTATTATCTGCAAATTTGTATCTGTGGTCATCCGCTGGTACAATATCCATCAACAGTATGTACTTAGTTTTTGGATTAAGTCCAGTGACCTTCACTTTGTAACTGGGGAACATACGCCTATTAAAAAAAAAAAAAAAAAAGTACATAAATATAAAAGCGGAGAAGGGGAAGTTTTCCAAGGCGATTTCGTGTGTGTATTTGCGAGGAGGCGGGGGGGTCATTTAACAAAAGGGCAACGCCACACTCTCAGATGGACCTTCCCAAAAGGCTCGGGCAGAAGAGGGGTGCACCCTTCCCCTGGGGTGAGGGAGATGTTTGGGTGCCGCTGGGTCTGCACCCCGGGTCCCAGCTGAGGCGAAACGAGCGGTTTGTCACGACAGAGTCGAGACTGGTGGGGTTATTTCTTCACCTACTCGTGTGCCTGCTCACATTTAGTCATATTTTTATTAATTATTTGTTTCGCCAAGACTTCGACTCTCTGTTCTTTGAACAAATGTGATCGTGAGAACATTTGGAAGCAAGTTACTTCCCCCTAGACATAAACCGTTGGAACAGGAGGGGAGATGTGCCAAGAAAAAAAAAGTAAAAGTATATATATATTTCTATAAATATATGTATTTAAAATACGTATATTTCAATCACCCGCATGTGCATTAACGGCTCTGTGTGCAGGTATTAAACAAGCCCTACACGCACTCAGGTGTAACACCAAATCTGTGCTCAGCCGTAGGCGTGTACGGAGACATCAGCGAACGCACCTGACAAATACTTGGAAACACTCGGATATACACTGAAGACAGGGGCTTTTCGAAATATTTTCCATTACTGCAAGGCAGGGACTTAAAACACTGATGTTATTTTAGTTTGAGCTTTCCAAATATTTAAAAATAAAGCAGACGAAAATGTATCCCTGGAGTTAAAATACGCATAAACAAAAACCCCACACCTCTAAAAATACTGCACTCTTCTCCGCGGCTGGGGCTCTTATCTCTGCGATAGGGCATCTGGGCTGGGTTTTAACTCACTTGTAAAAAGCTGGAGTAGGGGTAAGAAGCTACCAACGAAAAAAGCGAGGATTTAGTTCTAACGTTTTACGGCAGAAGAAACGGAATTCCACCTGAAGAATGATCTGTAACTCCATCGAAAACACCTGACCAGCAAGAACACGGACTTCTCTAACAATAAACACGGGGAATTATATAAATAAGGAAACCTATCCCGTATCTCCGCTAAAGCCCCTACGCTGTAAATGTCTATTTTATTGCTCTCCAGATGAGCTTTCTGTCTACTGCGATATTTGTTTGAAATTTCTGCAAGGTGGTTTATGTCTCTTTCCGTGAGCTGCTTTTCTTTTTTTTTTTTTCCTTCCCTGTGAACTCGGGTTTTTCGGGAGGTCCCTCCGCTCCCCCAGCTCGTGTCCCGTCATCAGGGGTCGGCAGGATCCCGGCCCCCAGCAGCCTCCCACCCCCATCTCTGTGCCACGTCCCCTTGGACACAAGACCCTTCTTTAAAACCCATTTTTTTCCAGCAGCAGCGAGGTTCAAGGGGAAGGCGAGCCGTGAGACAAATCTATTCGCGAAAACTTTATACAACCAGCTCTATTTTTTTTCCCTCCCTCTTCAGGCAAATTTTGGAAGACCACAACAAATACCAGATGACAGAGCAAAATGAAAGTTTGACTCTGCGATGTTTATTGTGCCCTTGCAATCTAAAGCTACTACTATTTCTCCGCGTGGAGGGGTTCCCCCTCCCCCCGCCCTTCCTCCGAGGATTTTCATTTAAAATCACAACGAAAAGAGCCTCTTTCGGGCTGCCCCCAGTTTGCCAGCCGGATTGGGGAGACTATTTTACTGGGTCTCGCTGGCTTAGGCGCTCTTCAGTTTAACAGTCCTCCAACACATTAATAATAAAGATAACGTTAGATCGCCTCAGATATACACGCGTACCCATATAAATATCTATGGATCGGGTTTACTAAGCCGGTCATGGAATCGATTACACGCAGTCCCAATAAAGTTGGATTTGCGAGGCTGTATATTTTTCTACACACCCACGCAGACAAACGCACACATATAGAAACGTGTATCTGGACGCAGTTAGATCCGCATGCTATTTATTTGCGGACACATCTATCTATGCATCTAAACAGCTTTGCTATCAGTATATAAACAGTAGCTTCAGACCACATATACTTTTAAATGGGGTGGCGTGGGTGTTCTGGATATGTTCACCTCAGCGTGCGCAAAATAAATAAGAAACTTCTGTAAACAGCGTAAGGCCTCGCAAAATCGCAGAAGGGCCGAGCTGCTCCTTTAATTAAAAATAATAATAACGAAATCGCCCAGCGAGCTGCTCTAAACAAGGTTAGCTTTTGGCCAAGTGGTTGCAACTCGCGTTCGCCTGGAAAGCTTCCAAAGGCCTGAAATTGGGATTAACGAGCCAACTGTTCTGGTTAAGAAAGAAGCCAGAAGAAACAATTTCTTCTGAATATATCCTCGCAGGGAGGGTTCTCCGCACGCCCGGCCGGGCCGGGGCACCGCCGGGCAGGGCTCTGCGGGCGCTCCCGGGGTCGTGGCGCACACACACACACACACACACACATATAC